TCTAAATAATTTTCCTCATATAAAAAAAAACCTTTTATGCAATGCAAAGGTTCCATATATGTCAAACGTTCTTCGTGGAACCATTAATACGAATGAAGAACATTTATTTATAAGAGTATATGTCCAAAATGTACAATAAAAACTGTCTCTTTCCTCTAAGACGGTGCAAGATTGTTTTCACACATAGAGAACAGTTTAAGATTTCTGCTATTTATTCACCATAAGTCTGAAGTCGGCCCAGTGACTGGTTGATTTGCTTGATGGAATAATTTTCAAAAACCACAATAAAAGTGTACAAAGGATTGTTTTCACACGTAGAGATCATACATTAACTTATGACAATTAAACATTTTAGTTTAAGATGCCATTTATTGACCATTAAACAAAAGGCCATATTAGGTTAAAGGGGTCATATGATGCTGCTAAAAAGAACATTATTTTGTGTATTTGGTGTAATGAAATGTGTTTATGCGGTTTAAGTTTCAAAAAACATTATTTTCCACATACTGTACATTATTATTTCTCCACTATGCCCCGCCTTTCTGAAACGCATCGATTTTTACAAAGTTTATCGGTCTGAAAAGCGAGGTGTGCTCTGATTGGCCAGCTATCCAGAGCGTTGTGATTGGCCGAATACCTTGCGTGAACATTTGGGCAGCGTTATGCAAATCTTCCCACATCGTGACGTAGACATGTGGGGGCGTGTTAGAACGAGCCGTTTTAGGTAGGCGTGGTTGACTTAAATTTTATAAAGAATATCTCTTTGGATTTGAGACTTTAGTCTTTGCAACTTTACAGATCTTCTTTATGCACCAAGAGCTTGTAACACTCCAAAGAGAAAGGAAAAATTGAAATCGCATCATATGACCCCTTTAAAATAGGTAAAAATGAAGAGAAACAAACAAACAGTGGGTAACTGGAGTAAATAATAAACAAGTTCACAAAGCAAGTATTAACTTAGAAATGGCAAATGCACATGAATGACAGTAATACTTTTACTCTCAACACAGTCTTATCAGAGTCTGTAGTAGTTGCACAATTCACAAAGGCAAAGCAGCGTGAAAACGAACAATTCTCTGCGATCCAGCATTGATAGCTGGCCATTTTGGGGGCGTGGCTAACTGGTCTTTGCTGATTCCACATAAGCAGGGTTGTATGGCGCTTGAGGTGAGGTGTAGTCTGTGGGAAGCACTGGTTGAACCGGTGGTTGTAGAGGGTACATGATCTGACCACCGTCATATGCAGCCTGGCTGAAGGGAACAGGAAACAGACCTGCTGGAAAACAAAAACCAGCAAATAAAAATTTGGCTGTTTGGTAATTAAAGATAGGATTGATCTTTTTTTTCCCCTTAATTTTTCAAATGTAAAGTTTCTTGTTTTCAGTTGTCTGCGTCAATCGCGCATTGCGAAATCATTCTCCTCGCCCACTGTCGCCACAATCCTGTTCTCAAAAACTCACACTATAGTTACGCAAGAGTTTATTCTTGGCATGTAAACAAATAGTTCTGCAGCTGTTTTCGCACAAAACAGAAAAAGAAGTAGTTTAGCTGTTTTTGATCTTCCACAGTCTTTGTCGGAGCAGGAGCACACACACTTGAAGGCGGGTCTTAATAATTACAAGTATAGCAAATTTGTTGAACTTTTTGTTCAACTTTTTGACGTCACACAGACAGGCCCCTCCCACGATTGTTTGATTGACAGTAGCGTTTCAGCACAGACTGGACTGGTGTCTTACCTTAGACCTGCCCTGAGTGAGAGCTGTCATCAGTCCGCCATTGTGAATGTCTCCTAAGAATGTCTCCTAAGCGATTGAGGTGTTCTGTTGTTGGATGTAATAATGAACATAGCAGTCGTCATTTACTCCCGACATCTGAGCCGCTGAAGACGCAGTGAATTACATTTGTTTCTGAAGGGAATGCACCCCCGATCTACATAAATGTGTTTATGTTCACGCGAATCATTCGTGGTCCAGCTTCACCTACAGAAGAAGTGAGTGTTTTTTAATGAATCTTTGCAAACCGCCTTTCCTAATAATGTGCTAATTAGCAAGTTTCACGATGAATGCGGCTAAAGTAAACAATCCCTCAGAGAGCAGCTCGGAAGAGAGGGGTGGGGTCAGCAGAGCTCATTGACATTTAAAGCAAAATGCTACAAAACGGCTTGATCTGAAAAGAGCTGTTTTTGACAGGGTAAAAAAGGTGTTTTTTACACTACCATTGAAAAATTTTAACCAAACTATGTTATAGACTTTTCATTAAGACCCTAAAAATCATATCAACTTGAGGAAAATGGGCATCCAATGACCCCTTTAAAACAATAAAAGTTCAACATTTGTTCTTGTAAAATGCGCAAGACTTTATTCTTCCCAAAACCATTAAAATAGGCAGATATAAAAGCAGATAAATTAATAGCCCCCACATTATTTTACCTATCGTTTAATACAAAAATAAAATAAACAAAACTCAGTGCCTGTATGTTTAATGTTGTAAAGCTTTCAGGTAGATGTTTGCGGATCTTACCAGCCTCCTGATATGTGGGTGGTGGTCCCGGTACATACATTTGCTGACATGGTCCAGTCAGAATGGGATGCCCTCCATAAGCTGGCTGTAGGTTATTAGCCACAGGCTGGTTATGTGAGTATTGTGGGTGATGTGTAGTCGTGACTGTAGTTCTTGACTGCACATCTTCTACAAAAGATGATTTGAAAGCATTAAGTATGTACAAAACCCACATGCAGCTCTTTGTACACACATATTGACACTTACGCTGCGCATGTCTCAAGAATCTTTTCACCAGGCAGAACCAGATGAGGCACACAGAAAGGGCTACTGCGAAAAACGCTATCATGGGCACAATGGATGGGCCTTCCATGATGGGGAGAATGACTTGAATATTTTAAGGGTTTGTTTCTGGACAGACTAGGGGAAATCAACATTAAGAAACATTCAAAATTGCGCATTTCAGCTTTTGAATAACTTCAGTCTTCTTATAACAAGCTAAGCATTGGACCAATTTGCACTCCTGGAAGTGTTGTTTTACCAGAATCTATTTGACGTCTGCGAGACGTATTTATTAGTGTTTGCTCATCTGCAATATATCAAATAGACGTTTAGAAAATGTCTTTAAGATGTTTATGATTTAGAATGTATGTAAAACTGACTTCTTATGACATTTTTTAGATGTTTGTACATAGCAGATGCTTTCCAGATTAAGTGATCTTTTACAGACATCTTGCAGATGTAGGCCTACGTGTGCTATCGTCAATCAGTTCTTACAAAGAATATACATAATTTTCATTTAGCCTACATTTAACAGTACTACAAGTCTTGATTCTGACATTTGAGACAGTTCTTGAGTCGGATTTATGAACAAAATCATTCAGATCAATTTTGTCAGCTAGTTCGGCTGATTCATTGATAAGATCTGACTGGAAAGATACATTTGAGATACAAGATACAAGGAATAGAACATAGCTGAGGAGTAGATGTTAAAGTTCACACTCCGTGTCTTTATAATTTGTAAGTATTTGCATGAAATCCTTAAGGGTTTTAGGAATTAAAACAGCCATTATACACGCACAATACTTGGAGCTTTGAAAACATCTAAAACACATTAGCAGGATAACACATTACCAGTACCTTTTTCCATTATCTAAAGATTTTTCTTAGTGTTTGATTAAACAAACCATTAGACACTTACCTACTGTCACCACAAATAAAACTGCAGAAGAACCGTATTGTTGTAGGCACAGCGCTGCTCATCCCCCTCAATACCTCGTTTCGTAATGATGGTGTATTTCCAGAGACTGCAGGACCAATTAAACCATGTTTTTCTTGCCGTTGTAACTCAAACAATCCTGATAAGTTGCTATAGTGCACCTCCCATGCAAGAAACATTCAACAAAACCAAAACCCACCAGTGTAACATGTGAAGCATATTGATTTTAAATACACAATTCTATAAATGCAAACAGACAGAACATGCCTGAGACAAAACCCACTTCTGTAAACTTGATACAAACAATTTCTTCAACTCTGAACTCTGATAGTCAGCTTGACTCTTGCTTAGTTTGATTGGCATGAAATGAATCGATAGTCACATTCACAACTTAACAAATTTACAATCTCAAAATATCTGTACCAATCTAGGACCCAAAATAACTACAATGGATAGATCTTTGGTTAGAATAGATGGAAAGAAACAAATTAAAATGTTTAAACAAGTGTAAACATAATGGTGAACAAGAGCATAAATACGGCAATATTAATGGACAACAACAATAGTATTCTCAACACCATTGTACGATAGTGTCCACACAGTAGCTGCACAATTCACAACAGCAGAGCAGAAATATGTAACCCTCCAGAATGCAGCGGTTTGGGTTTAGTTACTGGTCTTGATGGCTGAACTGTTGCAACTGGTGTAAGCAGGGTTGTACGCTGGTTGAGGTGAGGTGTAGTCTGTGGGCAGCGATGACTGTAGAGGATACGTGGCCTGACCACCATCATGGATGGGAACAGGATAACCTGGACCTACTGAAAAACCAAAGACGGCAATTATTTTGATGGCTCGCCATCTTGGCTCAAATAGTCTTGGTCATCTCGTTTGCAGATCTTACCAGCCTCCTGATAAGAGGGTGGTGGTCTAGTTGACATTGGTTGGCCTCCACAAGGTGGGTTATTTGGCAAAGCCTGGTAGGGAAGGTACTGACCGCCCTGAATGACGGCTGAAGGCTGCGGAAGGTATTGTGTCGTGACGACCGTAGTTGTCGTAATCACAGCTTTGTGAAGAATCAAAGGTGGAACAACGCTGAAATGACGTTCTAAAAACATTCGGCCAATTTAATGTACAAACATTGACTTACGTCTAGGATTTCTGAACCTCTTATAGAGATAGCAGCGTGGACAGACCCAGCAGATGAGGAACAAAATGATGACGACTACAAGTCCTAGTATGGAAGCACTGACGGCAATAGAAACAGTGTCGCGTTGAGGAGAATATTTAGGCGAAGTCCTGAGGTCTTTGCTTTTGGACAGATAATGGAGAATAAACACAATAATAGGTTACAAATGGAGATAATATTTCAGCCATCCACTTGTGTGTAAACAGAGCCTAAGATTCAGTTGTGATTGTATTTGACACATTCACTAGAAAAATCCTTTGTCGTCTAGGGACTGAAGAGGGAAATGATGGCTGGAAGGTATTTCCTCTAGGGTTCCTGTTCTCTTAATCTCACAGAATAATGGCAGCTCTTTCCAAAACTTAGTTTCAGTGGCGCTCTGTTATGTTTAAATCTACTTGCTTATAACAAAACTTAACATTTTATACAAACATTTTCATATAAATAACAGGTTTCCCTATGGAATTTCTCATATTTATTTTTTGTATTTACAAACTAAATTAACTAATAAACTGAAGATTGTTAGAATCACGCACAACCAATCTAGTTAGAAAATAATATAAATTATCACAAAATTATCAGAATAAATACCCAGTGGTAACATCTGGGGGGTATTCCAAAAAGTAGGTTATGTGACATACCCGGGTATGTTTGAGGATAAGCCAGCGGATAAACCTCAGCTTTCGGTTCCAAAATCGGAGGTTACTTTCAGGGTATGTAAGTAACCATAGTATCTTGCACTCTGAAGATAACCTGCTCCGGAGCAGGTTATGTTCCAGGGTTTGTTCACTTCAGCGCAAGGGTGATCTACTGACGAGACTTCAGTGGGCGTGACAGATAGCGCAAAACATTATATAATATTACAATATGTAATATAGCTTATTATATATATATGTATATATATTTGTATGATATGTTAATGATGAAGCGCTAATATAAGTAATAAATAAGGTCATATATTATTCTGATATGGTTATTTTATTGGCATATATAACAGTTATCTGTATAAATTAAAAAAACACTATGACAAGGTAATGTTTAATTTATTATATTATATATATATTTATTTATTACATTTTATATTATCATCTCACACATGGATCGGCATTTTCTATAATGTCTAAATTCTAAATACATATCTGATATGACTTAACATATAATTGGCATCAAACAAACAATATAATTAATATTCTCAAGGATTAAAGATTAAACGGAAAAAAATAAAAATGATTGCACAACCATCAATTAGGTGGCGATATGCACTAAGCATGTAAACGACCATTGAACAAAAGAAGAAGAAAGAAACAGCATGGCGTGCTTTTTCTTAGCGACTCGTCGATTCGTCACTCTGTTGAGAATGTCTTGAGTCTTGACCAGGAACATACTCTAAGTTGAATGAACTTACTCCCGGACGCGTTTTTGGAACCACATACCTCAAGTAAGCAAGGTTTGGGGTTAATCAACCGAAAGTTCAGGGTTTAGCTTACGGTAAATTAACCGTGCTTTCTGGAATACACCCCTTGTGAGGGAGAAATATTAAACATTTAGCTCTGATTTATATTAAGAAAGAAAAAAAGTCATTCCTTACAAAAGACAGTCACTTTGTGCTTTAATAGTAAATTTCCTTTGTTGATCCGAGCAGCAGTAGCTCTCATCACAGGTCCCACAGCAGAACTCAGATCTCCAAAAATCACAGACTACAGAGTCTGTCTTATACATGCTGCATCTCTCAAAGCCTAAACAAATAAAACAGAGGAAATGTGAGCCATTTTAAAAGTAATTCAAATCTTTAACCTGTGTTGTGACTTGTGACTTGACTTCACTTGTTTGGAAGTTTGGAGTAAAGCATCACTGTTCATGTTAAATGTTTCAGAGACATAGAAACCGCCTTTAATCACGGTAAAATGAGACTAATAATCATTTTGAGCAATATTTTGCCAATATTAAAACTTGATTGGTTGTATAAGTGACTCAGCAGCCATTCAGTATTTTATTAACGAGAAAAACAACAAAAGTCTTGCACACAGTAGCATTTTAATGATAAAAACATCAAATGTGTGAACAAAAAAACGACTGCATTTAAACATAAAAAAATCTGACTCATTTTCTTCAATCGGTTCTTTCAAAGATTGGCATTTACATTAAACAACACTAAAATTCAATACTAATATTCATGAGTCTGACGTGTCCAAATGAGACGGTCCTCTCTTTTTTTTTTGTGAATCGGTTCAATTGATTCATTAAAAAGATTAACGTAGACTAAAATGAACACTTCCTTCCTTCAAGGATCTAACATCTTTACTTGTTTGGAGTTTTACTGGTCATATTACAGTTTAGCACCATAAACAATTTGATCATTTTAACATCTTTATAACAACAGGGAAACATTTATAACACTAACTTAATTTCAACAAGTGTACTTAATCTCCACGTGGAAAAAGAAACATGGCGTGCCAAACGCTCAAAAACAATGTTTAGAAAAATATGACTGATAATTAACAAACTAGAAACACGTAAAACATAAAAGAGGGGAATATCGGAATAATTTGAAAATATCGAGCGCAGCCTCCCACATACTTCCAAACAACATGACATCCGTCATGTATTCGTAGTTCAAAAACTTTATTTACTCGAAAAGCAAGTTTAAAATGTTTAGAAACATTTCCTTAGACACTTACCGACTACAGTCGTGAATAATCCCGTGGACAGGAGAAGAAAAACCGTGAAGTTGGAAGCCATGGCGATGCTCTGGATGGTGTGTTTTTTCCCCGCTGCTTACTACGTGTGAAGACTAGTTCTTTCCAAGCAAGACGCTTTTAAAAACGAAACCAAGACCACCAGTGTAATTCGAAACATTTATTTCAATGTCTAGATCTGACAGTCCTGTGTGGACATCAGATAATACATAAATACATGTATAAACAAACAGAACATGTCTGAGACAAAAACCCACTGGCCTAGGCTATTCCTTACCAATAAAAACAATCTTCAAGAAAATTGTGAAGAACAAGTAAACTTCAACCAAAAACCTTTTCTTATTTAACTCTTGCTGAGATGATTTGTATGAAATGAACCAATACACATTCACAAACCAACTCAAGTTTACAGTCTTAAAACATCTTGCATTCTTTTTGTCTATTAATCTTATGAACAAAACAGCTGTGGACTTTGAAAAGCGTATCTCTAGAATCCCATCCAGATTGGCGATTGGTCCATTTGTTAACAACAAACATACCCTGCACTGTTTGAGTGAATTTGGAGCGCCATTATCTTTGGTAGCACCTGGACTAGATATTTGGGATTTCTGGAGATTAATATTCCTTGGAATCTTTGTAATTTAGAGCCTGAATCAGTCCAGCCCAATACTCAGTCAAGATACTCAGTCATTTTCCCAATATGGTGCTCCAATGATTGTTGGTTTTATGATTAGCTTGATACAGTACATGAAGTAATGGCAACATGAAAAATGGTTCAGTATCTCTAAACATCTTGTGAGCATCACCAATTTGCTTTGGAAGTGGTGATCAGTGTTGGGCAGTAACGCATTACTTAGTAACGCGTTACTGTAATTTTATTACTTTTTTAGTAACGGAGTAATTTAACGCGTTATAATTTTCAAAATAGTAATTAGAGTATAGTTACAAGCCGAGGTCTCTATACGTTACTGCCGCGTTACATTGCTGACAGAATGCAGTGTTTTATAATCTAGAGATTGTAAAAAGAATGTAGCACACGCACTGTCGAGTCCAGTGCCAGTGGATTAGAGACCTGCTCCCACGAGACCCGACGCAAGCTGGCATTCTGCCATCCAAACCATGCACGCAGCAGCCGCTTGCTTTAGTTAAAAATAAGTGTTCTGTGAATGTTGATGCTTTAATAACAAATATTTATCGGGAGCGTGTATGCTGGGATTTCATAAATTTCATGGAGAAAAAAGTAAAGTAACTAGTAATGTAACTAATTACTTTTTAAATAAAGTAATCAGAACAGTAATGTGATTACTTTTAAAAGGAGTAATCAGTAATTTGATTACATTTTCAGAGTAACTTGCCCAACACTGGTGGTGATGTACTTGTACATGGGCAGTTTATTATGTGAAACAGCTCGATAAAAAAAATATATATATATATTTTAATCAATATCTAACACTGTCAATGAGGTGTTTGGTATCGTTGTTCATCTTCAGAAATGTATCTGGACAATGTTTCAGAAAGATTGAGTTGTCGAGTTGCTGCCATTCGGTTCTTTTTTAGCATTTATTGGCGCTTGGCTTTGTATGGTCGTGAACGTTTCCGCCGGTCGGGTTTGCGTTGTTTGTGGAGCCGGCCAATGCTTACGCCCTGTCTGCGACGCACAGAGATGTTCTGCTCCACCAGACTCGCTAACATACCTACAAAACACCAAAAGGACATGGAATGATTAAGGAATAATTAAAGCAGTGGTTCCTAACCATGTTCCTGAAACCCTCCCAACACTACACATTTTGAATGTCTCCTTTGTTTGACACACCCATTTCAGGTCTTGGAGTGTCTATTAATGAGCTGATGACCTGAATCAAGTGTGTTTGATTAAGAAAATCACATGCAATGTTTAAACATGGTTGGGAACCACTGGATTCGTTTAACAGAACGTTCACGCTGCCATTTTTGTGGCATATGAAGATTCTCAAAAATATCAGATTTTGCATTCCACAGAAGAAACAACATTTTTTTTACCTTCTTGTGCCAGCATTGATATGAAGGTGCAGATGAATTCATCATAGTTATGAGTCCTCCTTTGGTCATCGATCTGAAAAAGGACAAAAAGCATCACTACAGGTTCTCTGGAAATCATTCCGGAAAGTCCTGCGAGATTACGTTCTTGTTCACCGGAAACCTTAAGTCAAACACTTACCTTATACTTTTTCCTTTTCTCCACTTCTTCTTTCAAACACACTTCATAGTTGACAATGTCAGCTTCCACATACTTCAACAAGGCCAGCAACTCCTGTGCAACAGAAACCCTCAAGTTCATGGAAAGTTGCATCACTAACTCATAGCAAACATCACTACATCGCAGAAAGAAAACAAATTTCTGGTGTCTTACTTTAGGGGTGTATTTTTCTCCAGGAGGTTTGGTGCTGGTTTCTGCATTGATGGATGGCAGGTTCTTCTTGTCTGGTTTGATGTCCACTGACTCTTTGACGTCCTCCTGTTTCATCTCCACTGATGGTCCTTCCTTCACTTCCTCCTCTCCTCCTGGACCAGTCGTCTCTTCTTTCTCTTTCTTCTCCACACCACCTGCTTTCTTTAACCCTTCCAAGATTTCTGTCAAATGAGATCGAGGTTATCCAAAAAAGTATTCCACAAAAGAAATTTCAGTTGTTAAAACCTCATTGTTTTGAACGTGAACACGTACCTGTAGCTGGCAAGGCGTACATGACGCCATCCTCTTGCAGTCGCAGCATCGTGGAGCTCACTAGCGCCCCCAAGTCCCGGACGGCTCGATTGTGTCGGGCATCTAACCTAAGCAGCCCCTCCTCTTCTCCAAACAGCACACGACTCAAGTGGGGCACCACAGGGCTGGAGGGCCGTGTAGCTGCTTGCGATCTTGCGGGCGAGCGAAGGGGTGAGTTGAACGCGCTTCCGATTTCCGAGGCCGTATCCGTGCTTTCGTTACTGGGCGTGGGCGACGGCTGGCAGGCCGAGGTGATGCTGATCCCACCTGTGCGACCCTCGGTGCGTACATTCAGAGGTGTGGAACCTGTTGTAGCCATGGAGTCCTTCCTTTGGACTTCCTTCTTGAGTTTCTCAGCTAAAACGCCATTAAAATAATTCATTTTACCATTGTGAATATGCCGAGGTAACGTTGCTGCATGACCAATTTGAAAATTCTGTGTGACTGCCACTAGGGGGAGAAATGCGACAGTCGTGTCCCAATGTCGCGTGCAGTGGAAAGGCGGCTTTACTACTAAATGTTGCCAAGCAAGTTAGGTAAAGGTTGTTAAGTTGTCACTATGTTTATAGTTTGCTGAATAATAACACCTTTAGTTTAACGATACAGACATTTGAAGGAACTCTATCGCCCTCTTGAGTACTGGAGGTTTGTTACCACTGCAAGAACACATTAAGTATGTTCAAATTTGAACACTTTCATAGTTGTATACCTGCTTGTGGCACCTGCAGTGCTGCACTCCTCCTCTTCATCATCATAGTAATCCTCATCATCAGAATAAGTGGGCTGAGGGGGGCCAGGTAGGCGTGAGCGACCCACGCCTGCAGCAAGATCCTCCTCTTCCTATCAATCATCAAGCATACTGAATGAAAGCACATATCATGCTAACTATTCCAGATATCCTGAAACACAACCGACCTTACCTGCATGGGGGACTTGGCGTAGTTGTGGTTGTCCAGGAAAGCTGGCAGACGCTGGACGATGGGATTGGGGTTGGGGTTGAGGCTGGGAACAGGTAGAGGGGCTGGTGGCGGAGCGCCGCCTGTAGGCAAGGTGGCAGGTTTAGCCATGGGTCTGACTTTTCCAGCGGGACTTGGGAGAGCAGTGGCACCTTCCTGAGTTTCTAAAGTGTCATGGGACATGTTTTAGGTTCTTTTTTGAATCCCTACATTACTGAATAACGCTTAAACTCTATTTATACATTACTATAAAAACCTATTCACACGGACTGTTGTATGTTTTGAGGCAAGAATGTTCCCATTGACTTATTTCTCCACACATGTCATTGTTGGCAATAACAGGTATTAATCAAAAGGTTCTCATTTTAAATAAATTTAAAACATTCAAATTAAGTTAAATTCAAATACCGTATTGACCCGAATATAAGACGATGTTTTTTTCTTGGAAATACACTGTGGGTGTGGCCTGCTCTGTACACAAAGGTATTGGCGTATCTTGCTCCTCCTCCTTTTTCACAGCAGGAGGCATGTCTTCTGAGGAGGAGGAGTCTTGTTGCTTTCGATCCTGGCCTGAACCTTGTTGGGTCATCTGAATTACCTGTAGCATGTACATAGGTGTACTGAGACATTCACAACTGACCTAGATTTTACCACATATGGCGCTTTTCCACTGTGTGGTATGGCTCGGTTTACTTTGGCTTGGTTTGCTTTTCCACTGCAGTTTAGTAACGCTTCAATGTGGGTGGGATTATAAACTGATCATTATAGTTGTGCCGCCAACCCCATCTACGCCACGATACATCCATTTCTTTTTTTAAGTTGTGTGTGCCGGTCGTTTAAAGCAAGTTGTTTAAAAAAGTCACTGTGCTGGCTGTTGCTGACTATTTAAATCTAGTGGGTTTGGTGTCTCGTGTCACAAATCCAATGAATCTGCAGTGTTTTCACGTCACATTTTAGTATCGGTACGGCTCGCTTGGAACCTCAACTGAGGTGGTACTAAAGCAAAAGTACCAGGTACTGGGTACTGTACACAGTGGAAACCCCCCAAAAGTGAGCCGTACCGAGCCATACCATGGAAAAGTGCCAATAGAGAAATCCTTTACAGAATGTTTGAGACTCCAAAATTTGGATTTTATTCACACAGACAAAAAAGTACTCACTTTTTTCTCCCTAACCTGCTGGAGCCCTTCCAGAATGATCTGCCTGTTCCGTTTCAGGATCTCCAGCTTAGACTCGTATTTTAACCTGCGATCTGGAACCACCGCCATAAGATTGAACCGGATGTCATGGTAGGGCTCTCTGAGGAACAAGAAGACAAATCAGATACATTAGAAAGAAAACATTAGTTTTAATATTATTTAAATTATATTAAATATATTTATATAATTTGAATTCATATTAAAATATAAATATACACTGCTCAAAAAAATGAAAGGAACACTTTTTAATCAGAGTATAGCATCAAGTCAATGAAACTCCTAAACACAATCAGAAACAGACTTCATGAGGGTGGTCTGAGGGCCCGACGTCCTCTAGTGGGCCCTGTGCTCACTGCCCGGCACCGTGGAGCTCGATTGGCATTTGCCATTGAACACCAGAATTGGCAGGTCCGCCACTGGCACCCTGTGCTTTTCACAGATAAGAGCAGGTTCACCCTGAGCACATGTGACTGATATGAAAGGGTCTGGAGAAGCCGTGGAGAACATTATGCTGCCTGTAACATCATTCAGCATGACCAGTTTGATGGTGGGTCAGTGATGGTCTGGGGAGGCATATCCATGGAGGGACACACAGATCTGCCATTAGGTATCGGGATGAAATCCGTGGACCCATTGTCAGACCCTACGCTGGTGCAGTTAGGGTTGCAAAAATGTGGAAAATTTCCAGTAAATTTAGGAAACATTCCAGAAATGTTGGAAACTTTCCAGGATTTTTTTGGAATATTCCAGGGATTTTTGGAAAGTGGATATTTTCCACCCCTTTGCAACCCTATGCACGACAATGGCCGGCCTCATGTGGCCAGAGTATGCTGGCAGTTCCTGGAGGATGAAGGAATTGATACCACTGAATGGGCCCCACGCTCGCCTGACCTAAATCCAATAGAACACCTCTGGGACATTATGTTTCGGTCCATCCGATGCCGCCAGGTTGCACCTCAGACTGTCCAGGAGCTCAGTGATGCCCTGGTCCAGGTCTGGGAGTAAATACCCCAGGACACTATCAGTCATCTCATTAGGAGCATGCCCCGACATTGTCAGGCATGCATACAAGCACGTGGGGGCCATACAAGCTACTGAGTACCATTTTGAGTTGCTGCAATGAAATTTCAGCAAAATGGACTAGCCTGCTGCATCATTTTTTCACTTTGATTTTCGG